CAATGTTTGCAGCATAATAAATTTTGCCTGCTACACAAGACTTCTTGGTGCAACCTACTAAGAAGGGAACTCATCTGGAAGTTTATTTATGGATTATATATTTAAATATTTATTCTATGAGGCCTTTCTCCTAAAAAGGACTCAAGGCAGCTTATGGCATTTAAAAAAAAAAGAAATTGTATTAGATTCCAGTCACAAACGAATTGCACTGTTTTGAAGATGCTTCATTTCGGAGGTGAGAAACATGAAAGGCAGCAGAAAGTATGAGAAACAGAGAGAGAAAGCTAACACATATCCTCAACTACAAAAGGAAAAACTCTGATGACTCAGCACCCTAGGCAGAGAGAGGGAGAGAGAAGAGAACAATGCCCAAAACAGAAAGGGAACACTTCAAATAAGCCAGAAACTCAATTCAACAGACACAAATCCACCCTCTTTGAATGGTCCCCCGCAAAGCTGCATCGAGTCCCATTTTGGGAAGAAAAGAGCTGGCCATACTTATCTATCAGTCAACCAGTGAGGAGAAAAAAAAAATCCGAGTACCCATTCCCCTGACAACTTTCTCCAACCATCCTCTTCTGCTTCCCACACTAGCATTTGGCCCCATCCCCTGACTCCACCCCCCGAAAAGGAAAAAAGAAAGCCGTAAAAGTCACTAGTCCACACAAAATTTTATTGGCCCACCTGTTGACACATGACTAGCTTGGTTTATTAATATACCTGCTTAATGATTTGTGGCACACGGGTGGCACATCAAAATAAACTGTTGCAGTTAATAGACATTGACTTTCTTGGTCACCTGGAACTGATTCATGCTCGCTACAGGCAACCAGACCAGAGGCCTGTCCTGTGTTGAATCATGGTCTAGAATCCCAAGTATCTGCCAGATTCTTGTCTCACAAAGCCAACCACAGGCACGACTGTTCCCACTCAGTCCTGCCTATGGGGGGGAGGAATCTCTCTCTAGTATTTTGATTCATTTAAATTTAGGCACATCAAAAAGCATTGATCTTTGCTTTAGCAAAATGGTAGAGGAGTTGCTTCCTTGGCTGCAAAATCAGCTCTACAGCTGGAAAGGAAATTCGTATTAAAACAGAGACTTTATATGAATTTATCCATTTCATGGTCTGTGAAACTATTAGCAAAAGTATGCACATATCTTTCCATTTCCTCTTTGAGGGGAGCAGCAAACCTCAGATCATTTCTTTTTCATACTATAGACCAGTGATTCCCCAATGTTTCGGTCCCCAGATGTTCTTGGACTAAAACTCCCAGAAGTCTTCACTAACCGTGTTGGCGAGGACCTCAGGGAATTGTAGTCCAAAAATATTTGGGATCACAAGGTTGGGAACCACTGCTAGAGACAAACAAATGTACACAGCTAAGGGCCAAAACACTTCAGACAGAGAGTTCTCCATTAGAAGCTCAACTGACCTAAGCAATAAAGGACAGGTGATTGTCCTCTCGTGTCTTTCAGTTTTGCAAATTTCACTTTGGCCTGCTTTGTTCCACGACTGGTCACTGTAAGGGAACAACAAGCCCTGTTTACATTTTGATTATGTAAACTTGGAAACTGTGAAGTATGCATCTCTGGAACAGTAACATTTTCTCTCCTCCTCCTTTCTCCTCAACACAAAACTGCCTGCTTTGTTTGGTTTGGCCTTAAAAGGTGCATCTCTGAGAAAAATGCACAGGAACACATGGAAGACATATGTAAGAATAGACACGTGTACAGGTTCAAATGTTAGGAAAAGTGCCGATCTAAATACCAAGTCTCCATGCAAGGATAGAAGTCCAGTTGCACAGTCCAGGACAAAACATGACTGCCATGAGAAATATTGGTGGCATGCTGAAAAAAGCAATGGAAATGAAATGGAGAGGTGTCCCCACACACCTCTGTTGGCAGAGGTAAAAGATGAAGAAAATTGCTTCTGCCACACAAACAGATCACATCTGAAGAGATGAAAAGATGAACAGCTTTGACAGTGCAGTGCACTATAAACATGAGAACCACCTAAGATTTGAATGGTTGCAACCTACTGGCAGAATGGCTGGATCCAGCAGACACAGGAGGAGAGACTCCTCATCCCCAATAGATCCCCTCCCTCCATGTACCCATACAACTCGATCTGGAGAGCTAGAAAACCTTGCCAAAATGGTATTTGGGTGGTGCAGAGGATTGAAGAGGGTAAGGGAGGAGTGACGTTGGCTAACCAACCATACCATTTTTTATTGATGATGATGATGATATGTTCTCTTCCATACACACGGCCAGAATTAAGAATTAAGCTAGACTTTGAAATGGGATTTAAAGTTTAAGTAGGGAAAGGTTTTTCAAGCCGTTGAGGCTTCAGACTCCATTGAGTTCCATTGCCCTGCCTTTAGAATAGTGCCTGAGGCTACAGGCTAATAGGTAGTCCACGAGATTGTGATGGGTTCCAGAGTGTCTCATCCCAACCAGGAAACCCTTAAGATTTTCCTGACCTGTTAGAGTTACAAAGGCCTTACTGTCACGTTTGGCCTTCCCATGGGCAACAGATGAGCTTTAACAAAACCTTCCAGAATATTCTGTTTTCTGTATTGTAAATGGTGGGTGTGCTTTGAAAACAAAACAAAGCAAAGCCCAAAACCAGAGTTCTATATGTCTTCTCCACCTGCAAGATTTTGCTCACCTAGAAAAAGTCAGAGACTTTCTGCTACACCTTATTTCTTGCTGCAACACTTCCTGAAGGTGGTGACTTCTCACTTCCTGGAGGTGGTGACTCTTCAGGGGGTGCCCTCTAGTATAGAGGATAGAGAGCAATGAGACTACCATTCCCAGGTATCATTGAACCAGGAAATAAGGCCTAGAAGGAGGCCTTTCTCCAGATGAGTAAAATCAAAGTGTCTGCTGGTGTGTGTTTGTGGGATGGAATTCCAGAATTCTGCCTGTGGAATTCTTGGAGAATTCTAGGAGTTGACATCTCAAAAGCAAAACAACAACAACAACAAAACTCACAATGAAAAAACAAAGAACAAAAACAAGTGGGACCTCTAACACTTTCCCCGCAGGCCCCAGCTCTGGAAAAACATGCCCATCCCACCATCTTTCTAGGATTTTAGGATTTTTTCTCTCCCCTCCCTCAGTTGTTGTTGGACAATATCAGCTCTAGTCATCATGATCAATGGTAAGGAGTGCTGGGAGTTGTATGGAAGCAACATACAGAGAACCACATTGTCTGTAAAATTTGTTTTAGAAGGTTGCTCTTAATCTTTTCGTTATTGATCCTTGTCTGTGAAACATCCCCCAAATCACCTTGAAAAAGGTGCCCTAATGTTCCGCATGCTCTGCTAAAAACTCCTTGTCACTTCATTAGTTTAACTGAATTTTCCACACACTCTTCTACATGTTTACTTAGAAATAGGACTTGTGCTGGATTCGGACAGGTTAGATGTCTTGAACCGAATCAGCCTGATTCAGACTAATTTATATGAGTTGACTGGTACAAAAAGAATACCAGTTATAGCCATTATGGTTTTCCAGTGACATCAATGGTGAGCTTATATAAAGATTTTGTTCCAACTGTGGAAGTTGAACTGAATGGGCCACAAACTCCTATTAGCCCCATCCTGTAAGACAAATGACAAAAAAAACTGTGGAAGCGGTAGAAAAAACTAGAACGTTTTCCTCTCCGGCCTGACTTGACTGGATGCCTCTTCACATGTTGTGGGAAACAAGCAGCCAGTGAACCCAGCAGCACATTTCCGAATAGATCAAAGTCACATTGCTTCAGATGCTGATGCAAAGGTGAGGTAAATATGGCTCTCCGGAAATGTTGGGCCTATAACTCTCAACATCCCTAGATAGCAAGGCCAGTAGTGAAGGATTCTGGGAATTGTAGTCCAAATGCTTTTGGAGGGCTGCAGCTGCCTATCCAGTGCAAATGCTCATTGAGTTAGGTATCTGACTGCAGAGCCTAAGCTGAGAGTTCAATTCCCCGCTGTGCATCCCAGAAGAGCCAGCCTGTGTGGAGTTAGGCAAGCTCCACCGTCCCAGGAAGTCCCCCAGAAGAAGGGAATGGTAGACCACTTCTGAGTATTCTCTACCTGGAAAACACTGGAAAGAGTCACCATAAGTCAGAATTGATTGGACGACACACAATTATTATGATTTCCCTTCCACTCATACGCTTGTACGCTCCTGTTCAAATAAAAGTTGATCTAATGAAAACACCTACAACTTAATTCTCTAGGCCCAAGGTGGTAACTGCCACCTCTCTCTCTCTCTCTCTCTGTCAGGACCCTTCCTGAGTGCAGCCTGCATTGTTTTAACCTCGGCGCCTTAGAATAAGTAGCCAAGGAGTCCATCCAGCAGCGAATTTTGGTATCGCTTATCTTTGATTAACAACAAAAGGCCTCGAATGGAGTCGCAGCCACTCTGTGAACTTCACTAACAGGGTTGTGAGCGGGGTCAGTCCAGCAGACCCCTGCCAATTATGACCAGAGAGGGAAACATCCTCTGGTATCCAGGCGGCTGATGAGAGCATCTGTGCCTCAGGGCTTTGATGGGTGCGGGGAGAAGGATGCAGGGCGGGTGGGGGGGGGGAGAGGAAAGGAAGGCAATCTGGAACCCATAAGCTCTCTTGATGTTTGCATTATTGTGAACAGTTGTACTGGTCTGTGCAGGGCCCCTCCCCTTCTGACTCTTCACCCTATCCGTCAAGGGCATTCACAAACTCTGTAACATGGTCCCTCCTTTCTTTGGAGCCCTTCAAGGAGGAGGTGTGTGTGTTGGGGGGGGGAGAGAGAAGCGTGAATAAGCAGATCCTTGAAGGTTGGAGCAAGTCAGAGAATCTTCTGAAGCCCTTGAAACCGTCCACTATTGGAATCCCATCGGTAAAGCTGCTCTCCTTGGAACATCAGGCCACTTGGGCTCGGATGCGCTGCAGCAGAACAGCCGGGGCTGAATCCGAATCCCTGGCGTGTGGGTTGAGAGGGCAGAAAAGCCGGGGTTGGAGACCATGAAAGAGGAGAGCATGTGCCCCGACTCACCAGAAGGCAGCCTGGTGACCAGCGAGGAGGAGAGCGAGAAGCTGCCGAAGAAAGGCCTTCGCAAGAGAGGCCCGCTGGGCAAGGCTTTGACCTTCCCAGCCCCTCCGCCGCCCGAGAGCAGCACCCCTTCCCCACAGGGCAAACGCAGCAAGCGAAGCCCCGTGCCCCAGACCTTCGAGGACATGCACACGCAACGGGTCATTGCCAACGTGCGGGAGCGCCAGCGCACCCAGTCGCTGAATGACGCCTTCGCCGAGCTGCGCAAGATCATCCCCACCCTGCCCTCCGACAAGCTGAGCAAAATCCAGACCCTCAAGCTGGCCGCCCGCTACATCGACTTCCTCTACCAGGTCCTCCAGAGTGATGAGCTTGACCACAAGATCTCCAGCTGCAACTACCTGGCCCACGAGAGGCTCAGCTACGCTTTCTCTGTGTGGAGGATGGAAGGGGCCTGGTCCATGTCCGCATCCCACTGAGATCCAGCTGGAAGGTACGTCTTGAACCTTGGTTTTTTTTCCTCTTACTGCTCTGGTCACCTTTTGTACTTACTAGGCTGAAATCAGAGGCCTGAAGTCCGCAGAGTGGTAGGGTTGGTAGGTATCCGCTACAGGTCAGATTTTCAGTGGCAACAACATAGCTATGTAACATGTGAGAAAGAAAGAAAGAAAGAAAGAAAGAAAGAAAGAAAGAAAGAAAGAAAGAAAGAAAGAAAGAAAGAAAGAAAGAAGTAGTAGTATGGGGCATGTGCAGAGTGCCATACCATTAGCAATGAGCAACCACAATTAGCTGCTGTATTCTATGATTCAATGATGGTAGCAAGGAACAAGGGCTTTCCATGTGAAGAACAAGATCTCCAGCTGTTTTGAGAACTCAATGAAATTAGATTTCAGAGGGATACTTGTTACTGTTTTTAAGAGAGAACTGAAAGTAGCATGGGTATCCTTTTTTTTTTACTTTGTGTCCAGTACACAGTTCTTGTACATGATACCGACATCTGTTCAAAACCTGCATCGTAGGAGAAAAGTGCGAACTGAGAAGTTAGATCTACACTAGTGACAAATGATGCCTCTCTCATACCGCTTTTTCCACATCTGCCTCCACTACCCCCCGCCCAACCAGTACCTGCAGTCATTGTCTCCAATCTAAGACAACCAGTCATTAATATTCAGGGGTAGGATTGTAAGTGTACATATTTTGAAAGTAAGCCACCTTGACATTCTGTGAGGCTTATTAATTGCCAATGTCAAGTAAAGGAAACATGAATGCTGATCAACAGCTAATTTATTTGTTTAACATTTTAAAAATCGGCCTCTGTTTCATTGCATTTCATATTCTTGTATATATGCTCATTTTGGATTTGAAAATTAATCCCCAATACTGACTGAAGGCAGAAGACAGAGTTTTATTTAAAAATACACTGAGAAAGGAGTTGCTTCTGTCTGGAAACAACTTTTATTTTATTTTAATTTTTTTTACCAACAAGTTGTGCATTTTTATGTGTTTGTTGGGTGCATACTCAACAAAATGTAATCAAGATAAAAGGCATCCCTACAAGGGCTAGCTATATAAATAATATATTTAAATATACTCTTTACGTAGCCCTTCCATAGAAGCCAACAGAATGTTCATGTGTGAAATACTGTGTTAATTTACTTCTAATAGAAATGTAAAAATGTACGGCCAATGTACACTTGATTCTACTCCCCTGTTCCTCACAATCCTCTTCCATATTAAATGGCATGCCTTACCTGACAAACGCAAAAGCAGAACAAAATAGAAGAGGATGACAGAGGCTCTAATATATTTTGCCGTATGGTTATCGTGACACATAGTAATAGGCGCTATCCTTCTCTTATTCTGTGATCGTGTGAGAGAAGCCTCCACTCTTCCTATTTTACAAATATGGAAAGATGGCTAACAAAACAACAGCTTTCTATAGGCGCTGCCTTGATCAAAGTTCCCTAATGAGAACCCCCTGATACTTTCAGTGTCCTGGAAATTCAGTGTCTCGGTGCTAAATAGGATGGCTTTGATGCACTCTGATATGGAAAAACTCATCAATGCATTCTACCCTCAAATGAGAACGAGATTTCCATCATTATTATAAATCTCCGTAACTCACACCTCCATCATTACCAATGCAGACTAAATTGCACACTACATATAAGCCCACACCGGGTCAGGTAGACATGTTAAAAACATAGTTTTTTGCCCCTGGTGCAGCACCCGCCCGAGGCATTTTGCTGCTTGAAGCAGGAGTGCACCCTCGCTGCAGTAACAAACCACTTTATAAAATCTCTTTCGGCCGTTGAAAAGTCCCTCCCTGGCTTATTCTGCTGCTTTCATATGGAGGGCAGTGATGTTCACAGGAAAGGAATTTTAAAAGCAGGGCTATCCTGGGAGAATGCCACTCCACATTGGTACCCAGCATGAGTGGCACAGAAGGGCCGTCTGCATCACAAGGCTTTTGCGGCTTCTGAATAAGCACTGTGACCAGACAGCAGGTTTGAAGTTATAATATCATCTTATGCACGTGTACACACATAAACACACAGAGCGCGCGCGAGAGAGAGAGAGACTGAGAGAGAACCAGGTTAAAGACATATTTGATGTTTAAAGAGCATGAAACTTTGCATTAGAGAAAGGCATCTTTGCTTTTAAATGGGGGACGTGGTTCACAGTGAAGCCAGACTCAGATAATAACAGATACATCCCAAATAATGATGACTGAGAGCCACACAGCAAATATAGCAGATTTGCCGCACCAGCCAGTGGTGAGGCAGAAACACAGGAATGGGGTGCACACATCTGTAGTTTAGTTGCACGCTGAGACACTGAAGGGGTTGCTGTGCTTGAGAAGACTTTCACAGAAGGGGAATTTCACTAAATGCATTCTCAATCCCCCCAAATCACAGTGGAGCAATCAAGGCAAAAGTCACACTTTATGGCATTTTTCCCACCCAAGTTAGAGAATGCCATGGAGAATCTAGCAGCTTGTCATTCTGATTACTCGAGCAGCTATAATGAGCTCAGTTGCATGTTCATATGAAACAAGTTACAATGATATCTACATTAAGATACCCCAAAATTCTGCAAGAGGAAAGAAAAGCTTAATTCTGCAACCAGCTAAAATTATGGGATTACCTTTATTCCTCTTGTTCTCATATGATTTCTTCTGCATTTTTACTCCCCTTCCCTCAATAAGTCTTTCTGCTTTTGCTGTGTAAGGAACGGTCACAGTGCAGTGACATGCAGCCTTCTTGGTAATTTAGGACAACACACCTATCTTTGCAGCAATAGGGGCTAGAAACTTATTTTAGTGGTGGAGTGTATGCAAGAGTGGGTCCAAGCCATCTCTAGACAAAATTAATCCTGCTTAAAACTCTGGAGATGTCTGCCACTGAGCTAAAGGCACTTATGGTCTCAATTAGTATAGGATAGCTTCCTAATGTATATTAGATGCATTCTGTACATATATGATGTTTTAGAAAACAAGAAACAAAACCAGCACTCACACAGCTCAATTCTATCCCTGTTGCAGAAAGTAATTTGTGCTAGTGAACCAGGGTAGCCTTAGAAAATCTCAAGTCTTGTACACATTATAAGGTGAGAGGACATCATTGCCAAAACCACTGGAATGCCCTTTTGAGTGTAACCTACATGAAGGGCACATAAAATGTTGCAACCAATACTCCTGTCATGCAGGACTGGCATTGAAGCAACAGTTCTTGCAGAATCGCAATGCCCACAAGGTGGGCACCATTTTTGCAAAAAAAGAGAGGAAATGTCATAATCATTTGATTTACTTTTGCAGCATGCCCTTTGCTTTCAACGTTACTGTTTTCCACAACTGCTCGTCATTTTTTTTTAAACAACAAATTCCAAATCCAAAAGGACAAAATCGTCATCCCCTCAAAAGGATGAGTTTGCAGAAATGCTGAATACAGCAGAAAGCAAGACTATTTTATTGCTCTCCTCAAAGGCCACAACAAAATACACGCAACAAGAAATCTGTGCATCCAGATGGCATTTAAAGTGTAAAGCCCACATCTTGGCAAGGATACAAGGAATACGTATTTGTCTGATTAGATTCAGTATCTTACTGTTAGTCCAGACAAAGAGTAGACCCACAGAATGCATTGCTAAATGATAAGCCAGCACTTATAGCATGCAAATCCCATTGAGTCAATAGCTTTCCTGCAGTTGGGACTAGTGATAGGACAGTCTCTAAACTGTATTCTTGAAGTCTCTTAAATTCCTGCAGCAACTGAGAGTACCAAAGCATGATCCAGCACCACAACACACACACACCAGCATCTTTTCTCTCTCGCTCTCCTGAAGACCTCGATATAGTACAAATCTGGTGGGCCTCCCTCCTGATAGAATTCCATAAACAAGGAGTCAACCTGGAAAATGTCAAACTTTACCCCCAAGCTCAGTAGAGCCCACCAAAGAGCTCCACCCAGAAGGGCTCCAGGGTCACACATTGGAACAATCTTCCTGCCTAGCGGGCGGCCCATCTACTGTCAGAGCCCTGGGATGGGACGGAGACAGCAGAACAGGGACAATTTGGTGGAGGAGGAAAAGGTGAGGTTTGCCCCGGGGGCTGATTGCCCAGAAAAAAAAGTGTGTGTTTCAAACCTGGCTCGCTCTTTGACCTTGTGCCTATTCTTTGCCCTGGGAGCAGCGGACTCAAAATACTCTCCTGACGCACGCCCCCCTCTTTTCCTTCAGCCCTCCTTGAAACAACGGCAACACTCCGTTTCACTTATTTCCGTATGTTCTGAGATTCGCTGGCTGCTCTGAGGTGGAGAAAATACACAGCCCATCCAACCAAAGAAGGGATAAACCCCTCCATTTCACTTGCTTCCCCCATTCTTCCTCCCCTCGCTTCAAAATCCTAAGTTCCTTGTGGTGAATTTGTCAATTTATAACAAATAAGCAACAAAATAACACAATAACACAGTATCAATACATTTGGGGGCATAAATCAAATATCATAAAGTGCAGTGAGAACAAAAACACAATAAATTACAGTTAAAAGGATAAAAATATAAAAGGCAAGAAGCATGGGGGTGTGGTGGATGATATAATATCGAGCACTGTTGTATCATGGTGCTGTTTGTTCAGGGAAGACCTGCTTAAATAGCCAGGTTTTAATAGCTTCTTGAATGTGCCTGGTGAAGGGGCCGGGTGAACTTCAGGCGGAAGACAGTTCCACAGTTGTGGGGCTACCACCGAGAAGGGCCGATTTCTAGTAGTTGATATTTGGGCCTCTCTTGGGGTCAGAACTCTCAGCCGCCCTGCTTGGGATGATCTTATATGTGAAGATATGAGTAGAACAGAATGAAAATTTCTCCCTCCTGAGAAATTCTCATCCAAATTCCATAGGTGCCATTTGTACCTGCCATACCTGTTAAAGGTGAGAAACATCTCGGGGAAAATGAAGCCTATTTTAATACCCCCAACATGGCTGCATACGCAGGGATT